CAGACAGCCATGAGAACTCTGCGGCTGTGAGAACTTTTTAAGTGCCTCAATTCCTCTTTTTGGAAACACACTTTACGTTTTACAATAATTTCAGATGTACAGAAAAGTTGCAAAGATACTACAGTGTTGCCTCGGTTTCCCCCACTGTTAACATTACATTATATGGTATGTTTGTCACAACTAAGAAACCAACGTTGGTTCATGAGAATTATCTAAAACTCTATACTTCATTAGTATTTTATGACTTTTTTCACTCTTGTCCTTTTTCTGTGCCAGGATCCCACACAAGTTACCACACGGAGTCCTGTCTCCTTAGCCTCTTCTGGTCTGTGACAGTTTCTCAAACTTTGTTTTTCATAACCGTGACAGTTTTGAGGAATACTAGCCGTCCGTCCTACAGAACGTTCCCCCAATCAACTTTCATCTGTTCTACTCATGACTAGACTGGGCTATGGGTTTTGGGGGAAGAATACCAAAGAGGTGAAGTGGCCTTCTCATCACATCCTATCAACAGGACTTTTCACGAGGATGTTAACTGTCACCTGGCCACGGCAGCATCTGACAGGCTTCGCCACTGTAAAGTGGCTTATTTTTTCCCCTTTCCATGCTCTGCTTTTTGGAAGCAAGTCATTATGTGTAGCCGACATTCAAGAGGGCGCTGGAGGAGGAATTCATCTTCACCAGGGAATAGCTACATTAAGTATCTGAAATTCTTTTGTAAAGAAGCACTGTCTTCTGTCTCCCATTTATTTATTTATTCAGTTGTTTCTATCAGTATAGGCTCATGGATACCTATTTTACTGAGTTATAATCCAACAGCATATGCTTTTGTTCCAGTTTTGGCCATTGGGAGCTCTTTCAGGTTGGCTCCTGGGTCCCTCTGACATGTCCCGTCCTTTTGCTCTGTGAGCATTTCCTTACTTGTTCTGGTATACAATATGCCCTGGCTCATCTTCTGTTTGTTTGCCCCAGCCCTAGAATCAGCAATTTCTGCAAGGAGCCCTGGTTTCTTTGACCAGGGAATGGCATTAGAAACCCAGATCTGGGTGCTAGGTGGGTTCATGTTATGGGGTGTCACTGCATTAGGCCCTCTCACAGCAGGCAGAGCTAGGACACAGATATGTGCTAACCCTGTATACACGCACACCTGTAATTGTTTCTGCTTCTATACATCTTGATCTATATTAAGCTAACCGTGAATTCTTACTGATATTGTGGACAAATCCACTACCATGTGGCTGATTTTAGCCTTTCTACTTCTCTCTCCAACAAGAAACCTGGCTCCCCCCATCTATCAGTTTAATATTAAGGACTAACTTTCTTTTTCTCTACTTCATGTAATTCCATAAATTTATCATCTGTAATTTCCAGATGTCACTGAGAGGAATATATGACCAGGAGGAGAAATAACAAACCTATGAAATACTCTTCGATTTCTCCAAGTTCTTAGTACATAGTGAAGAAGTGGACATTTAAATATGGTTGCCATTGAGACCACTGGAACCCTTTTGATTATATGCTCTCAGGAAATTAAACATCATCAAAACAGGATAACTATACTTTCTCTTTTCTTTTTGCCACAATATCCTGATGCAGCAGTTGTTTAGAATAACTATACAATTTATCACATTCCCAAGAAATTTGAGTTATCAGGGCTAGAAGAATTTAAGTTAAAGAGGAATTAATCCTTTAATTTACGTTAAAGGATTTCTTTGTGAGAAATCCTTCCGTTTTTACAATCATTAGGGTAAGGGATTTTAGACAGTGGCCAATGAAAGCCAGAATTATATCCGATTAATTCAAGTGATTTTAAATCTGTGGATTTTTTTTTTTAAATTTAAAAATCTGTTGAAATTCCAGATCTGGCTAAAACCTTCAGTCTTTGAAAAGTTTTCATATTTGGAATGATATTTTCACCTTCAGTATATGAACGACAGAACTATTATTGCTATAATGTAATTATTAATAAAAATATTGTTACTTCTAAGGCTCAGTGGACTCTGGTCAATGTTGACAGATCATGGGTGCCTGGATGGTAATAAACAAGACATCATATTCAGAAATGCTTGATCCATATTACTTCAATGCTTTGGTGTTATAATATTCTCAAGAGATTTTAAAAATACATGTGAACCCAGGCCAGCTATTGAGATTTTTAGTTTTCAGTATTTTTGAGCTGAGGCCTCACTCTGTCACCCAGGCTGGAGTGCAGTGGCATGATCTTGGCTCACTGCAGCCTCTGTCTCTTGGATTCAAGTGATTCTCCCACCTCAGCCTCCCAAGTAGCTGGCATTACAGGCATGCACCACATGCCTGGCTAATTTTTGTATTTTTAGTAGAGACAGTTTCGCCACGTTGGCCAGGCTGATCTCAAACTCCTGGCCACAAGTGATCTGCTCGCCTCAGCCTCCCAAAGTGTTGGGATTACAGGCATGAGCCACTGCATCTGGCGAGATTTTTAGTTTTACTTTACATTCTTTCACTTGCTTTAGAGCTAAACTTTTCTATGGCACTACTAAACATATACAATCCAATTACTGTTTTAAAAGAGTGATCACTGGGAATTAGTAGGTATTCTCTATTACTACTCCTTTCAGTACTGTGCATTTAGGTAATGCTTTCCAGTGTTTTCTTAATAAGAAACAGGAAAACACAGCAAGCAGGAAATAGATAAAATTAGCTCACTGGTATCTGGGCATGGTGGCTCATGCTGGTAATCCCAGCACTTTGGGAGGCCAAAGCAGGTGGATCATGAGGTCAGGAGTTCAGGACCAGCCTGGCCAACACAGTGAAATCCCGTCTCTACTAAAAATACAAAAATTAGCTGGGTGTGGTGGCAGGTGCCTGTAATCTCAGCTACTTGGGAGGCTGAGGCAGGAGAATCGCTTGAACCCAGGAGGTGGAGGTTGCAGTGAGCCAAGATCATGCCACTGCACTCTAGCCTGGGCGAAAGAGCCAGACTCTGTCTCAGAAAAAAAAAAAATAGCTTATTGGTTCTACCAACTACATCTAATAATTTTCACCTGGCACAATTCACTTATTCAAGAGTAGTTACTTGAATAGGAAGTACTAGGTTTAGTATTGTGGGAGATTCAATTCCAGGAACAAGGCTACATTAACAGTCATTACTAAATGACAAAGCTGTTTTTCTATGGATTATGATAATTTTCTCTGAAGACTTTCTTTTGCGGCCAGGTGTGGTGGCTCATGCCTGTAATCCCAGCAGTTTGGAAGACAGAGGCAGGTGGATCACTGGAGGTCAGGCGTTTAAGACCAGCCTGGGCAACATGGTGAAACCCCGTCTCTACTAAAAATACAAAAATTAGCTAGGTGTGGTGGCAGGTGCCTGTAATCCCAGCTATTTGGGAGGCTGAGGCACGAGAATTGCTTGAACCCAGGAGGTGGAGGTTGCAGTGAGCCAAGATCATGCCACTGCAACTCTAACCTGGGTGAAAGAGTCAGACTCTGTCTCAAAAAAAAAAAAAAAAAAAATGCCGGGCACAGTGGCTCACGCCTGTAATCCCAGCACTTTGGGAGGCCAAGGCAGGTGGATCACAAGGTCAAGAGATTGAGACCATCCTGGTCAACATGGTGAAACCCCGTCTCTACTAAAAATATAAAAAATTAGCTGGGCATGGTGGCGTGTGCCTGTAATCCCAGCTACTCAGGAGGCTGAGGCAGGAGAATTGCCTGAACCCAGGAGGCAGAGGTTGCGGTGAGCCGAGATCGCACCATTGCACTCCAGCCTGGGTAACAAGAGCGAAACTCCGTCTCAAAAAAAAAAAAAAAAATTAGCTTATTGGTTCTACCAACTACATCTAATAATTTTCACCTGGCACAATTCACTTATTCTAGAGTAGTTACTTGAATAGAAAGTACTAGGCTTAGTATTGTGGGAGATTCAATTCCAGGAACAAGGCTACGTTAACAGTCATTACTAAATGACAAAGCTGTTTTTCTATGGATTATAATTTCTCTGAAGACTTTCTTTTGCGGCCAGGTGTGGTGGCTCATGCCTGTAATCCCAGCAGTTTGGAAGACAGAGGCAGGTGGATCACTGGAGGTCAGGCATTTAAGACCAGCCTGGGCAACATGGTGAAACCCTGTCTCTACTAAAAATACAAAATTAGCTAGGTCTAGTGGCACATAACTGTAATCCCAGCTACTTGGTTGGCTGAGGCACAAGAATCGCTAGAACCCGGGAGATGGACGTTGCAGTGAGCTGACATCACGCCCCTGCACTCCAATTTGGGTGACAGAGCAAGACTGTTTCAGAAAAAGAAGAAAAGGCTTTATTTTGCATTACAGAAACCAGTCTTGGTAGCCTGAATTTACCAGAGGTGACCAAAAGTCTTTAAAACATACAGGTATAAGAATGTGGGCTCTGGAGTCAAACTGAGTTCAAATTCCTGATTTACCTTCTAATAATTACATGACAAGTTAATGGAGCTCCCTAAGCCTCAATTTCCTTTTCTGTACAATGTAGGTAATACCTATCAGCACTAGTCTTGAGGCACAAGTGCTCAGTGAATGTCTATTTGTAATATAATAAACTGGAATTGGTGTTAGTGGTTAATCCTTTCTCACGTGTCAGCCTCTCTCTATTTCACAGCGCTTTTGTATGTGTATCGTCCACTGCCCTAGACTGAACTACACAGAGCGCTCTCAATACTGAAAGATATTTCACACTTCTTAGAAATACTCTTCCTTCCTGGACTACTTAGCAAAATCTTACGCCTCAAGACTCAACCCACACATCTCTCATTTATTTGGTCACTTACACATCAACATTTTTTTTTAAAACACTCACTCTAAATGGCATCCTCTTTCTGGAAACACATATACCAGCAATTAAAACATGTAAAATTAGCACTGCTTAGGAGAACGCCATTGAATATGTATCTTAGATCATCTTCCTTTTTAGAAAACTCATCCCACGTGCTACACGCCTCGTGAAACTCGTTACTTGCCAGTAAGATACTGTCCCCAAATGTACTTACCATGTTTTTGTGCGCTGTAAGCTTTGTTCAGTTTATAGTTTCTAGGTCCATTACTAATGATGAGTCAGATATCCAGCCGAGATAGAACTTTTTTTCTGAAAACACTGTGAGCAATGGCCAAGTTCGCTGTGATTAAAGGGAGAAAAGCTTTAACGACTCCCGAGATTTCTTTTCCTTATGAAATCTGCATATGTAACAAAGTTAAAAAAACGACCAGAGTTAATGCATACTGAACAGAATCTTTTTTCAAAGAAATATGGAGGCACTTTCACCACAGAAACATCCCATTACATATGCTAACTGCAATATTTATGTTCAGAACTCTAAGAACGTGTCTGATACTCTTTATTAGTTAGGAACTCCTGAAAAGGAACTTCTGTGCAAACCTGGAGCTCAAATACAAGGGGTGGGGGGTGGGGCGGTGGGATAATGAGGGGAGAAACACGAGATATAGGGGATGGGGGGATGAAGGCAGCAAACCAAATTGCCATGTATGTACCTATGCAAGAATCCTGCATGATCTGCACATGGACCCCAGAACCTAAAGTACAATTAAAAAAGAAAAAAGCAGTGTGCTTATTGATTTGATAAAAGGGAAATCGGCAATATGGACATGTGCTCACCTCACAAATCTCCGACAATATCTCTGCAGTGCTATTCTTTGAACACCATTGAAAGGTATTGTGAATAGATTAAACGTTAAAAATATGGACTATAAGAACGATTCGGTATACTTGAACACACATTTATGTTCAAATATTCCTATGAATAAAAACGCGTAAAACTACCCTTGGGTGACTAAGAATAGTAACAAACTTGCAATCGCAGATTGTATGGCTCTCACGACAAAACCAAAATTAGAATGGAAAGACCACTTCTCTTTAGAGGACAAGCTTGAGCTTGTCTTCTAACATCATCATAAATGCACCAACGGAAGGGGACCACTAAATAAAAATGCAGGGAAAAAGGAACACTCGGCCAGAGTCTGTTTCTAGGCGGATCCTCCCGGAAGGAGGCGCAGGGCGAGCCCGGGGAGCAGCTCCGACACCCGCGGCTGCCATCGGGTCGGGTCGCGCACGCCAGACCGCGCCCGCGCCGCAGCAGAGCGGCCTAGCCAGCCCCGCGGGTCTCAGTCGCGCGCGGCCGGACCCGCCCTCCCGGAGGAGCGCCCGGAGTGGACCGGCGTGACGGCCCCGGCGTGAGCGGCCTCTCGCCGAGGGTCCCTCGGCGGGCCGGGCTCGGCCGCTGCCGCTCGGGACAGCCATCCCCTGGGATTCGGGCCCTTCGACCCTGCCTCCACTTCCCGGGCTGGGAAGAGGGCGACGGCGCGGGAGGGAAAGGAACTTGCGCTCCCCGGCGCCGGGAGCTGCCTGTGGCTTCCCGTTTTCTGGTTACGTGCGCGTAGGCAGAGCCAAAACTGCGGCCGAAACTCCCGCTTCTCCAGAAGGATCCAAGGGCGGACGCGTTACCGTGAGACGTGTCACACTCTGCACGCCTCATGGCGGCCGCAGAACCCACCCACCCCGACGCCCGTCCTACCCCGCCCGCTGACTTGCTTTGCGCACGCGCGCTGAGGCTACGTGGGGTGGGCGGGCCCGGCGCCTCCGCAGCTGGCCAATCGGCGGATGGCCCCGCGCCCCCGCCCCTTTCCCCCGCCCCCGGCGCCGGGCTCCACGTGCCAGTGTTTGTGTACGTGCTGCCGTTGCTGGGCTGGACCGGGTCCCGGCTGCTGTGGATTAGGCTGCTCGGGCGCAGCTGCCAAGGGCCGGCCCGCAAGTCCCAGCGGTCTTTAAATTCTCCGGTGCTGGGGCGGGACCGCGCACTCTTACCTGCCGAGGTGCGGCGAGTGTCCCACTGCTCTGCACTCCCGAGGACTTGTGTCATCTGCCGTAGGCGGAAAATGCTGTTGCTCGATTGCAACCCCGAGGTAAGACCTGGGCTCACAGAGCCCGAGCTTTTGTCCTGCAGGCTCAAGCTTCCAGACCGTCTTATCGGGAACGCGGGGACTCGCCGCTGGACGCTGCCTGGTCACGCCCCGTCAGAGCTGGTTTTGAAGTCGGGGGAGTTTTCCAGCCCGGAGGGGCGCGGGACTGGACAGAAGTGAGAGGGGTGCTGGATCTGTTCTCTTCCCGCAGGTGGATGGTCTTAAGCATTTGCTAGAGAAAGGTGCCTCGGTCAACGCACCCCCGGATCCCTGCAAGCAGTCGCCTGTCCACTTGGCCGCAGGAGGCGGCCTTGCTTGCTTTCTCCTCTGGCAGCTGCAAACGGGCGCTGACCTCAACCAGCAGGTAACTAGGTAACTGATTGTTGCTGTGTACAGCTCTTCCCTCCCTCCTAGATCCACACAAACATTTCTCAGACACCAAGAACACCAGTTCCTTTCAGCTATTATAAACATGTCTGTAACAGTGATGTCCAATAGAAACAGAATGCAAGACGTGAATGTATTTTTTTTTTTTTTTTTTTTTTAAAGAGACGGGGTTTCTCCATGTTGGACAGGCTGATCTTGAACTCCCAACCTCAAGTGATCCACCCATCTCGGCCTCCCAAAGTGCTGGGATTACAGGCGTGAGCCGCCCTTCCCAGCCGACAGATGTAATTTTAAATGTCCCCGCCCCCCCAGCCTCGATGTGAGGACATGAGAAATTTCAAATTTTTAAGTAGCCACATTAAAAAAGTGAAATGAAACATGAAATTTGAGGAATGTAATCCGATTGGTCCAAAATATTATCAATTCACGGCTGGGTATACTGGCTCACGACTGTAATCCCCGCACTTTGGGAGGCCGAGGTGGGTGGATCACCTGAAGTTGGGAGTTCAAGCTCAGCCTGTCCAACATGGACAGGCTGGAGGAGAAGGCAGGAGGATCACCTGAAGTCAGGAGTTCAAGACCAGCCTGGCCAACATGGAGCAACCCATCTCTACTAAAAATACAAAAAAATTAGCCAGGCATGGTGGCAGGTACCTGTAATCCCAGCTACTGGTGAGGATGAGGCAGGAGAAGTGCTTGAACCTGGGAGGGAGAGTTTGCAGTGAGCCGAGATCACACCACTGGATGCAGTTTGGGAGACAGAGTGAGACTGTCTCAATAAAAACAAAAAAACCCCAAAATACTATCATTTCAATATGTAATCAATATAAAGCAATTGATTAGATTATTTTACATATTCTTTTATTCTGTGTCTTCACATTCTGGTGTGACAGCATATCTCAAATCAGACTAGCCACATTTCAAATACTGTAGCTTTAAGTGGCTGTTGACTATTTTTTTTTTTTTTTTTTTTTTTTTTTGAGATGGAGTTTTGCTCTTGTTACCCAGGCTGGAGTGCAATGGCGCGATCTGGGCTCACCGCAACCTCCGCCTCCTGGGTTCAAGCAATTCTCCTGCCTCAGCCTCCTGAGTAGCTGGGATTACAGGCATGCGCCACCACGCCCAGCTAGTTTTTTTTTTTTTTTTTTTGTATTTTTAGTAGAGACGGGGTTTCACCATGTTGACCAGGATGGTCTTGATCTCTTGACCTCATGATCCACCTGCCTCGGCCTCCCAAAGTGCTGGGATTACAGGCTTGAGCCACCGCGCCCGGCCTGACTATCTTACTGAACAGCATAGATCTACAGTTTATTTCAAAAGAAGTAATAGCTATATTACCAAGTCTCCCTGCAGCAATTTAAATACTTGTGAGGTATGTCCACAACCATTGTAATTTCCTAAAGAACTTTCTTACTGCAGTTTGCATCTTCCATTAAGTATTTAAGCATGGGGAATTTTAAATTGTAAACTTTTCTGGGACAACTCTGTTTTTATTTGCTTATATTTCAATGTATGTGGCTATGGCTACAAGTTTTTATTTGTTTGTTTATTGAGGTGGAGCGTGGCTCTTGTCACCTAAGCTGTAGTGCAATGGTGTGATCTCGGCTCACTGCAACCTCTGCCTCCTGGGTTCAAGTGATTCTCCTGCCTTAGCTTCCCTAGCAGCTGCAATCACAGGTGCACACCAGCACGCCCAGCTAATTTTTGCATTTTTAGTAGAGATGTGGTTTCACCATGTTGGCTAGGCTGGTCTTGAACTCTTAACCTTAGGTGATCTGCCTGCCTCCCGAAGTGCTGGGATTACAGGCGTGAGCCACGGCACTTGGCCCCACACATTTTTATTAATTAAAACTGTATGAAAAAGCAAACTAAAAGACCTTATCAAAAAATAAAAAGCTTTTACAGCTTACAGAAGGAAAAAAAAAACCACAAAAATAAAAAGCTTGAATTAAAATTTCAGTCCATACAATGCAGTTCTAAATAGCTTCCTTAAATAGCTAATATTAGATGTCATTCACCATTAGAAAGTATTTTTGGGAGACTCTAAAACGCACTGTCTTACCTTAAGGATGTTTTAGGAGAAGCTCCACTACACAAGGCAGCAAAGGTTGGAAGCCTGGAGTGCCTTAGCCTGCTTGTGGCCAGTGATGCCCAAATTGAGTGAGTATGACATCAGTGGCTTCTCATTTTATGTTTTCTTGGATTAAATAATCAGACTCCTGAAGCATAGTTACATGTGCTTTCAAAAATAATGCTTGCCTAGTTGGTAATTTAGTGTTGTCATTTAAATGTTAACTTAGGCTTTTGGTTCGAATAATATTCAGTTCGAGGAAGGAGAAAGATCCTGAGCAGTCAGAGTTGCAATTCTGTTCATTAGACGGTATTCTACTTCAGTGTCGGTTTAGGAAAACCCATTCTATAGTTCTCATGGACTACCTTTGGGTACTCATCCACTGTATTCAACATCAAATAATTCTTCATTCAAAAATGGAATGCCCAGTCTATGCTGGATTCTGTTAGCTGCTGAGGATACAAAATGACCAAAAATGCAATTTCCCTATGCGTTCTTTACCTCTTCTGTTCTGCAACCAACATTTGTATGAGCCCAAAATTCCTTTGTAAGATACTAAAAAAACACTTTAGAAGTTCAGTTTTTGATTTAACTAAATTTTTTTTCACATTTTCAGTTTATGTAATAAGAATGGGCAAACAGCTGAAGATCTCGCTTGGTCGTGTGGATTTCCAGAATGTGCCAAGTTTCTTACAACAATTAAATGTACGCAGACAAGAAAATCAAGTGAACACTCTGATAGGGATGACTGTGTTCCTGTGCTCAGACAGAAACGAGGTTTTGGAAGTGTAGAAAATATCAGTGGGAAAAGGAAGCGTCGGTAAGTAACTCCGAGCTACTGCTCTGTTCCTCCCTCCGTGGTCTCTTGCGTGCATAGCATTTATTATTCCATTAACGTTGTAATACTGGTTATACTTACTAGACTCTAGAGACCAAACATGTGCCCGCATGGTAGAAGTTTGGTGATAAAACTCTTTTTTCAAAAAAAGTTCTTAATGGTAATACATTTTTTAAAAACAGATGTCACGTGGGTTATGAAGAAGTCTGAAGAAACGCCTTCATTTCATGCAGATGTGTAAGCTCCAGCTTTTGGCTTACCATATGTGTCTAAACTTCTTCTGAGAAGGAGGAAATCCTTTCTTCCAAGTGAAGATCCATTTAAGAACACATGTATTTACATGCCTATAATATGCTGGTTGTGTATGCTTTGTCTTTTAAGTTATTAAAGGGATGTCTGAAAAATACATTCTCCGTGCAGTATTTACAACCTTTGAAAAAGGTCATATTTTAAACCGTTAAACTAGAGCCAGGATTTAATGTGAAATTAAACTGATTCTTTATTCACAAATTTATGATACCACTCTACTGCAGTCTTCGATCTAATATATTTTAAATCATATTTGGTCGCTGAGGAAGACATAAGTTATAGTATGCATCCTTGTTCCAAAAGTCTGGGCCCTTCCATCCACACCAGCCCTGGATAGGGGAGAAGGGAAAGGAAAGCCTTTTATAAAGTTGCAAGATTATCTCACATCACCCTGTGTCAGCAGGACCTTGGAAGAAGCCTCTAAACGCCTTTGTCATTCAAGGATTTGAATTCCTACTAGGCATAGAAAAGAAACTTATCTGGGTCCCTTTGAGGTAGCTTTTTGAACTTTTAAGTCTATATTCTTTTAATTGTAAATAATCATCATAAAAATTATTAAAAAATAAAAACTGACTTATAGTAACTGTTATTCCAAGTGCCACACTTTACCGATCTGAGATGTATAGTTTTACCACTTGCAATTGATGGCATGTGACAGGTGAACTGCCAGTCTGACTTCATCGTCCGTAAAGGAGTGTGGCAGCCAGCATTCAGTGGCATCTTAGAACGGAAATACGGTAGTGAGAACCCTCAGCTTGCCCCACGCTTGGCACTCTGTGCCCTTTCCTTTTCAAATCCCAAGTGTTACTCAATTGTACTTTCTATGCTGCATGTCAGTATTCATCCTTTTCGCCAGCAGAAAAAATTATTTTCAAACAAAATCGCATTTAGAGTATGAAAAGTTCTGAGATTTCTTCTAGGGCCACTGAGTTATTAAAGAAGAAAACTCGAAGAAAAAATCAGTAACTGGTCTGTATTATATGATTCTCAAATGAAATGCTTTAAGAAATCCTTGCGAGGAGGCTAGCTGAGGATTCTGAAAATACCACCAAGTGAGTGACAAGCAGTGGCCTTATTCCTTCCTAAATAAGATACACGTTGTTAAAAAAAAAAAAAAATAGGCCAGGCGCGGTGGCTCAAGCCTGTAATCCCAGCACTTTGGGAGGCCGAGGCGGGTGGATCACGAGGTCAAGAGATCGAGACCATCCCGGTCAACATGGTGAAACCCCGTCTCTACTAAAAATACAAAACATTAGCTGGGCATGGTGGCGCGTGCCTGTAATCCCAGCTACTCAGGAGGCTGAGGCAGGAGAATTGCTTGAACCCAGGAGGCGGAGGTTGCGGTGAGCCGAGATCGTGCCATTGCACTCCAGCCTGGGTAACAAGAGCGAAACTCCATCTCAAAAAAAAAAAAAAGTAGATAAAAATAAAAAAGCCTCTCCCAGTCCTACCTCCCACTCTCCCTAGGTAACCAATATTCTGTTTATCATCTCTTTCAGCAAAACTTTGTCTATTAATTTAATGTCCTAAAGTCTGTTTTCTTAACAAATACAAAAAAGACTCCTCATACTATCTGTTTTAATCTTTTTTTTTTTTTTTTTTTTTTGAGATGGAGTCTTGCTCTGTCGCCTAGGCTGGAGTACAGTGGTACGATCTCGGCTCACTGTAACATCTGCCCCCCCACGTTCAAGCGATTCTCCTGCCTCACCTTCCCAAGTAGCTGGGACTACAGGTGCACACTACCATGCTTGGCTAATTTTTTGTACTTTTACTAGAGACAGGGTTTCACCATGTTGGCCAGGATGGTCTCAATCTCTGGACCTAGTGATCCACCCACCTCGGCCTCCCACTGTGGTAGGATCACAGGCATGAGCCACCACACCCAGCCTTTAACCATTTTTTGATCCTTTTACACATGAAGGCCTTGTCCAGGTAACCAGATCTGAACTTTTTAAAGGAGAGATGGGTAGAGAGGGTGTCGGAATGGGACTGTACAGGGTGACAGTGCTTGGCACATGCTTCTTTCCTGTGAGATGACCAGCCTGGGAACTTCAAACACGAAAGCACCACAGGAGGGTAAAGAGGTCAGGCAGAGATGGACTCTCCTCTCGCCTCCTGGGTTCTTGGTGTCAAGTGAATCAGTAGTTCTGATAGCAGGACCTTGGCTACATAGTTTCTTGTGTACAAACAGAGCGAGGAGGTTTCTGTTATTGCAAAGTTCTGTAGAAATAGAACTAGCAAAGATGGAGACTGCAATTCTCAGAGAAAGGAACCAAGGACACCCCCTTACTCTAATTGTTCAGAAACCTTATCTAGATAATCCCGTCTAGTGCAGGGCCCCAAATTTTAGGATGAAAATAATTAAGACTTCTCCCTGCCTTTAAAAAAAAAAATCTAAATGCCTGCTCACAAAGACTACCCTTTTGGACTGAGCTTGGCATGTCCTTCCAGCCTCACCTCTTCACCTAGCCCTGGACACACTCATCTACCTGGAAGGCGGCTTCCACTGCTTCTACAGAGTGCCGCTATAGCATCGGCCGCGTAAACCTGCCTGAGATAGCATTTTCTTTTCCTTTTTTTTTTTTTGAGACGGAGTTTCGCTCTTGTTACCCAGGCTGGAGTGCAATGGCGCGATCTCGGCTCACCGCAACCTCCATCTCCTGGGTTCAGGCAATTCTCCTGTCTCAGCCTCCTGAGTAGCTGGGATTACAGGCACGTGCCACCATGCCCAGCAAATTTTTGTATTTTTAGTAGAGACGGGGTTTCACCATGTTGACCAGGATGGTCTCGATCTCTTGACCTCGTGATCCACCCGCCTCGGCCTCCCAAAGTGCTAGGATTACAGGCGTGAGCCACCGCGCCTGGCCCATTTTTTTTTTTTTTTTTCTTGAGAGTCCTACACTAAGTGTTTAGCTCCCTAAAAACCTTCTAATACCGCTAGTGCTTAGGACAGTGTCTGGCATTGATTAGGTACTTAATAAATAATGAATGAACACCTTGCTACAGAACAAGAATATCGCTACTATATTCAGTAAGATACCAGTCAAAAACCTTTTATAGACTTCAAATTCCAAATGTTGTGAAAGAGGAAAGCAAGGAAATAGAAAACACTTAAGACTGTAAGAACACATTTCTATCCTGTTAGTCTTTACCCTTATTGTAAACAAGAGACTTTAGTAAACTGAGGATATAAGAGAGTTGGACTACACACATTAAAAACTTTGAGATGAAGTTTTGCCCTTGTCGTCCAGGCTGGAGTGCAATGGCGTGACCTCAGCTCACTGCAACCTCCACCTCCCGGGTTCAAGCAATTCTGCTGTCTCGGCCTCCTGAAGAGCTGGGATTACAGGCGCCTGTCACCATGCCTGGCTAATTTTTGTATTTTTTAGTAGAGACGGAGTTTCACCACGTTGACCAGTTTGCCATCCTCCCTTTCTAGGTTCTCTGCCGTGTGAAATGGATACTTACCTTTTCCAAAATAACCTGCAGGTCTTCAGCGCCTGTATAATGTGGATCTAGAATCAGAAACTTTATCTGCCCTGTAATCTCATTCCATGCAACTCCCAGTATTGTGTGGGCCAAAACTCCTCCCCCTATAGAAGAAACAGGAAATACAAATAAGGTATCAGCAAATGTCACATGCCTATTCAATTGAAAAAGACAGATTACTTTGCCTATTAACTGATCTAAAATAGCATTAAATGGACCACAATGTCAGATACACTCTGAAAGGATACAATGACAGCTTTAACACATAAAACATACAGTCATAGCTATAATCACATAAAATTTATATTCCACCATCATATCCATATAGATTTAGAAAGGGCCATAAACGGTTCCCAACAGAGCAACAGTCACCGCTGTGGTGCGTCTCTCAGCAGATGGTCCTGCTGCCTGAGTACCTCCAGGGATACAGCACTTCACTGTTTTTTTTTTGTTTTTTTTTTTGTTTTTTTTTTTTTTGAGACAGAGTCTTGCACTGTCACCCAGGCTGGAGTACAGTGGGTGATCTCGGCTCACTGCGACCTTCACCTCCAGGCTCAAGCGATTCTCCTGCTTCAGCCGCCCAAGTGGCTGGGATTATAGGTGTGTGCCACCACACCTGCCTAATTTTTCTATTATTAGTAGAGACAGGGTTTTGCCTATTGGCCAGGCTGGTCTTGAACTCTTGGCCTCTAGTGATCCACCTGCCTCAGCCCCCCAAAATGCTGGGACTACAGGTGTGAGCTACTGGGCCCTGACCTATTCATTAAGTTCTTTCTGATATTTTGCTGACGTCAGCCTCCATTTCCCTTTTTTTTTTTTGAGACAGAGTCTCACTTTTGTCACCCAGGCTGGAGAGCAGTAGAATGATCTTTGCTCACTGCAGCCTCCACTTCCTGGGCTCAAGCAATCCTCCCCCCTCAGTCACCTGAGCAGCTGGCACTACGGGCTTTTGCCACCATGCTGGCTAATTTTTATAATTTTTTTTTTGGAAGAGACGAGGTCTTGCCATGTTTCCCAGGCCGGTCTCGAATTCCTGGATGCAAGCTCTCCTCCTGCCTTGGCCTCCCAGAGTGCTAGGATTACAGGTGTGAGCCACTGCACCTGACTTCTGCCTCTATTTCTCACACACTAGTCTCAGCATGCCTTCTGTCATCGCAGGACCGGTTTTGTTCTTCACAGAATTATGCATCTTTAGATCAGCTAATTCAGTCTTATTTTACAAATAAAATCCAGAGAGGTAAGTAATTTGCAAAATGTCACAAAGCCAGCGTTAGTGACAGAGTCATGACTTATACGAAGCTCAGCTGGACCACCTTCTCTTTTTAATACTGCTCTCAGCTCTTTAATTGTTTGAACATAGCTACCATTTCTCAGCCTTTACTTCTTCTGGTTATTATAATCTTTTTTGTAACCTTTAAGCCACCTTGGACATTTTTTTCAATATCCAGAGATCCATACATATGGTGTAAAAGTTAATTTCAAAACTTTTAAAATGACTGATTTTATGCAACATTAAATATTTATAAGTTTTACATACTACTCATTCTACCAAAAAAGATGTCTGAAACACTTTACCGATCATAACTGGAGTTCCTTCGCTTTGGAAATGATTAGCCAGTTCCCGTCCTTGAGAGGCCATTTCTGAACCTTGGCTAGAAAGAAACCATTTTCTATCAGATGAACTACTTCCAACACTAAGGTCAAATAATGAGCTAG